GGGTAAAAAATCTATTAACAAATACGACCAAAAGAGATTGATTGAAAATATTTTCAAGTCTGTAACTTCATCGCTAGATGGCGCAACTACTATACCTGGTGACTATGAGACGCCTTCCTTCTTTATCGCATGGATTTCTATGGCTTACTTTATCGCTCTCACGTAACTTCAGATAGACCATCGGTACTTTCCTACCCTGTATGTAAAAGGCATTTTCCTTGTTCACAAGTACTTTTCCAATACAAATAACAATAATTTTGTACGTAGCAAGAGCTTTCACATTTTGTTTGGCATAATGTAATCGTTATGGAAATAATAATCATTATAAATAGGTACTCAGATATTTGGAATTAATAAAAAAATTAAAAATTGTACCTACATTTTAAAAAATTTAAAAATAAAGCAAGTTCTTTTTAAGGACAAGATATGTGTAGTTTTACAATGAATCACAATTTATTTTTGGCTCGGATTATGTCAATGTTATTTAGAGAACTAAATAAAGGAAGATGTTCTAGCACAACTTCACTATTTTAGCAATAGGTAACTTGAAAACGAAAAAAGAACTTCGGGGGCAGATACATCTCTTTAAAATAATAGCTATTTACCTTATAAACAACGTCCCCGTTTTAGAGATATAGGGCGTTGAAGTTGTTAAAACAAATTATTTTGTTTATATCTCGGGAATTAACCGATCTCAATAAAATGGTACAGATAATGTATAATAGTAGGCCTTGCATTCCCTAAAATATGAGCTCTGAAGGTTCAACAAGTCGTGTACAACTGGACAGGGGGCACCCCTTTTTTAAAAAAAACCTACACCACTGCATTTTTTACAAGTTATTGTAACGGATTGTTCTAATGCACAAAATACGTAATTCATACCAATACCATCCCCTTGTGGCAGACACTGCTAACCATAAATATTACAAGAATATTTATGTTCATGCTTAAAAGTAATTGTAAGCACATCAACAAAATTCTTTACACTCCTTTTCACATCACCTGTGAGGTAGTGTTCCTGGTGCATTTTAATTTCCCCTGGAGGACTAATCTACTATATTTACAAATAAGAACAATTTAAATCAAAATAATAATAAAAATATATTTACCAAGCAACAGCGACTAATGAGGAAACAAAATTAACGTTTCGTTTTCGTTTACAATTGTTCAAAATGCGAACCACCCACATCGATACATATCTGACATCTAATTGAAGCTCATATCATGTGGTGGTTTTCTTTTAATTCATTACACCCGTCTTCTATCTGCTGCATTAGTTGTGGTCTTGTATCTGTTGGAGTAGAGAAAAAACTTTACTTTTCAGATAACTCCAAATATAGAAGTCCAGGGGATAAGGGCAATCTGAATGGCCAAGACACTGGACTCTATGCACCACTATAGTAGACATTGGCATTGGGTCCTCTACCTATCCATCGCCCCATATAATGTTCATTAAGCCATTCTTATGTTGTATCCATTGAATTCAGCTATTTTGTCGTATATTTAATGGAACATCCTCTAATAATTTAAATAGATAGTTTTCTAGAATGTTTAGAAATGACTGGGAATTTAGACGAGGTGGCAAGAAGAAAGGGTGAACAAACTTGAAATTGAAATTTCATGAGGATTTTCTTGTGACCAAATATGCAGATTGTGAAAATTCACTATCCCTCGCCTTTGGTAAATGTAAATTTATTATTATTTTGATTTAAATTGTTGTTATTGTTTCTAAAGATAGTGGATTAGGCTTCCAGGGGAAACTAAAACGAGCCAGGAACTCTACCTCACAGGTGGTGTGAAAGCAAGTGTAAATGAGTTTGTTGATATGCTTACAAATTGCAGTTACTTTTAAGCACAAACATCCTAAGTATTCTTGTAATATTATGGTTTGAAGTGTCTGCCACAAGGGAATTGTATTGGTGTGAATAACTGGAGAACGGCGAGTCTTAGAGGAAAAAGGTACCTTTTTTACGTATTTTGTACATTAGAATATTAATTCGTTAAATAACTTGTAAAAAATGTAGTGGCGTAGGTTTTTTAAAAAAAGGGGTTTTTATGGTTATTGAAAAAAAAATTGCTAAACGGGTTACTGAGATAGCTATGCACAATAATAATTTAAATCTATTTAAACACCCTGTACCTCGAAACGTTATTTGAACTACCCCTCATGATTACCCTCATGGAATCTATCGATGACGTTTGGCCCATTAATAACCCAACACCCTGTATAAAATTACTGCGTCGTAATCTCTGATATGTGATTCGAAAAAATTCCACGACATGCAGATGCCATACATAGGTCGAATTATATCACTTGCCTTGCTTTTAAAGGACGTGATAAGTTGGAGATAATCGAGAATGATATTTAAATAAAGTCCGATCATCACAACGATTCATCCTAGGTTAAGTGAGGAAAAGATAATATTCTAATATCAGAATGTAAGCGCTCTCATCCTCTTCATGAATCAAGGAAAAACCTAAATATGTCCCGTGGAGAGCTTAACAAATTGTTGGCTCAGATATCTTGAGTTGTTTTACATATAGGAAACGAACACTTAGCAAAGTCGAGATTACATCTGATAATAATATCTACGAAAAAGTGCTCCACATCTAGTTATGAATTTAGCCTCATAGGTGCAGATAAATAAAAGTTAAATTCAGAATTTAATACAGGTGGAATATATGTAGGTATCTTGATGAATATCTTATTAAAATTTTCGGTACCTATACTTGTACTTTAATAAAGATACTCTTGATGATGAGATACGCTAAAAATAGAAGATGTAAAAAAACGACAAACTAGGGCATAGAGAACTTGTACCTAAATCGGAGTAAATGTCCCCATTATGTGGTTGTCGTGCGTTGTCTTTGTCTATTCCCATTAGGTCATTTCGTGTAGTCCGTTTATCCGGTTATTTTGGTGGTAATTGTGTTTAAATGCAGTGGTTTGATTACAATTAGTAGGTACACCGTAAAAAAAACACTCAAATTTCACTCGATTTTCTGATTTTTGATTATTATGCGCTCTGTTTGAAAGTAAAATATTCTTGTCATTTTCATATAATGTACTCCGTTTTCAAATTATTCGATTTTATTTAAAATAATGTGGAATATGAATAAAAAATTATATTTCTTAAAAACTATTATCAATTCAATTATTAAAAATGTTTATCAGATTTTTTTGGAAAAGAAGTACAAATTTGAAGTTTCTCAAAATAGCGCTTCTAAACTACATCTAAACATTACAGAAAAAAAAATGGTTTACCCTCAGTATTTTTTAAATCAGAATTTGTTGGTTTATTTACTTTATAACAGCACTGACATTCAATTGTAAAACATTGAGAATATTCTTATCAACACGGCTGTTTTTTAGCCTCGTCTCTTGTTTCAGTGCACCAAAATGTGCCTACGTTAATTAAAAATTCCCATGAGCCAATAATTCTCATTAAACGCTGAATTATGTATGCGTGTTTCCAATGAAAGCCAAGTCAGTTTCAACTAGTTTGACAGGGAATGATATTTTTTATTCTCGCCTATTTTGCATACTTAATTGTTGCCTTAATCGTATGCATAATGGGTGGATGTCTAGTTCAACGGAAAGCAGTGCTTTCTTTGAAAAAAATTTCCACTGATGTAAAATTATCCGTAACAATCCTTTAACGGATTCAGAAGATTGAATAGATTGCTTAGATGTGCTATGAATGTTATACATTTCGATAATTTGCCTGATGTAATTAATTATTAATCAACGGAAATACTAGTAGGTAATTATTAAACTATTTCATACGCATGTATCTGTATTATGCTATACTCATACATAATAAAGAGTGTTAGATCTTAAGAAATGAGTGTCATTATAAGGAAAATTTAATGTACTCAGCTTGCGAGAAAAGAATTAATTCCCTGTATACAATGTCAGGTACTGACCAGTAGATCTCCATGTCATCCCCATACACGACTAGGAGTACTTGACATCAAAATAGTAAAATACATCATCAACATAAGTGTTAAATAAGGATGGACCTAAAATTGAACCCTGAGGAGCCCCAGATAATACATATTATTAGCTTGAATCCTTAACATAATAGTTAGCATAATTTATAATAGAATAGTTTATAACAGAATAGTTGGCATAATTTACCAAAAACATCTACGTGATCAAGCTTGTCAAGAGAATCTCATGACAGAAATGATTCGTAGTAAATTACATCAGCCTGACCTTGATCAACAAGAGTCTTTGATATGTACATATTTAGTTGAGAGTAAATCAGTATTTATGTATAATAAGTACTTGACATCAAGGCAAGAAAATATATAATTAACGTAATAAAAATGAGCCCAAAATTGAACCCTGAGGATCTTCAGATAAACTATAATCACTTAAACCCGTGCTTTGGACAAATTGTTGTTTGTCATATGACTTAAACAATCGACGCAATTTATCAGAAACATCTACGCAATCGAGTTTGTCAAGAAAAATCTCACGATAGAGGCGATCGAAAGGTTTTGTCGTATCAGCATAAATTATGATAACCTGACGTTGGTTTTATTAAGTCATTGAGTTAGTGACAGTTAATTAGTATTAGTTCCTGTTTGTTAACAAAGTGGATTACAGTTTCAAAAGCTTTTATATCAAATTTCTATTTTATGAACAAGTTAACTTAAGGAGGTTTATCGGGTACTGAGGTGACTAAAGTAGTAAGCCTCTAGATTTGGCAACGTTGCACTTGGCTGGCTCGCTCGCCTCGTCGTTCGCTCGCTCGCGTTCGATCATTCTGTTTGCTTGGATACCTGCGAATTTCAAATAATACGCTACGTCGAGACAGCGGCGTTTGTTTGTCAATTCCAAATCAGATAAACCTCCTTAATCAAATATTAACAAGTAGTTTGTTGATAAACAAAAATATTGACCCTTCAATTATTGGTTAACTGCCGTTTTTCTCCTAACAAGGAGATAACCATGGATCGAAAAACAGCTGCATCAGGTCTAAGTAACTTACCCAACATTTTACTAAGATCAGCGTTGTGAAGATCGGGATTCTCGTCCGCCAGCTTCTTCCTCTCCACCTTGGCCCACACCATGAACGCGTTCATGGGCCTCCTTATCCTCGCCTCCTTGGTCACCTTCTGTCCCTGTCCCCCTATCTTAGGCACGAAATTAGTCCTTTGCGTGTACACCGGCATCGTCTCCGAGTAGCTGGGCCTGATGTACTCGTTACCACCGTATCTGCTACCGTCGAACTGTCTGTAATCGTACACCGCCTCAGGCATGCCGCCCCAGATGTCCTGGGACTTCGGCAGGACCTGGGGGAGCACCTGGGAAGCGGGGATCATCTCCTCCTGGTACTCGTAGCGGTAGTGGGGCGGGAGCAGGGGGGAGGGAGTGTTGGAGGGGGACAGGCAGGTTGAGTAGTGGTTGTTCGTCGTCGGTGAGGGCGTCGTGTCTTCCATGATCCTGAAAAAAAAAGAAGGATTGTTAGTGGAAGAAAGACGGCACAATTTCTAATTGTAAAATCCTTATAGTTTCCAGAAAAAAATTATTGAAGTTGTAGCACTTCGCTGGATCTTTGAAATCCGATTTTAATATTAACATTACCGTGACAGTGTTTACATTAGTTTTTCAAGTGTTAAAAATGGCTTATTTGTATAGCAACTCGGAATTGATGGATATCGTTTTTAATTTATGATGAAGCAAGACAACAATTATGTTAGTTCTGAGAAACTGGGTAAGACGGGCCCAAATGTGTTTACGAGTCGGGGGACACAAATAAAAAATGGTCCGGTCGCGACCTCAGTGATGTCACAAGGAATGTCCCATCTATACCAATATCTTTTGGTTGCTTAGTTGAGCTGTTGGATTGTTTAGTTTAACGTTTATTTTTAGCAATATTAGCGTTCCTTTTTTATTTCCGAGTTTATTTCCTAATGAACTACATAATTAAAAAAAAAATAGTAAATTTTAATACCTATCGTGTCAAACTTAAAGTGATTTCTTTTTATCAAGTTTACAGGCAAAGAAAAATTTAATATTCCCGCATATGGATGAGATTATTTTTAAAGATAAAGTAGGAAATACACTTGATAAACAAGTACCTACTCGTATATTTTTAGTAAAAATAGTTAAAGTAATTCCCCTTACAACGATTACAAAGCAGTTTATTTGTTAGGTAAAATAAATACAGTTTTGGTAAATTATTTTGACAGCGATACTATGAGGAAATGCCTGTTAATATTGCATCTACTGTGACGTCTAAATTCAAGTTAGAGAATGAAATACAATAACATGATTTACAAACGATAGAGTAGCAGGCCAAGCATTGTTATATAAGTTGAAGGACTTTAAAATATGTTTTTTTATATATAAAAAAGTATTCAATGTAGTTCATTTTACTGGAATGCTCTGTATATTCTACACCAAACATGGTACATTTGATCTTCAAAAATTAGAGTCCTTTAGTGCAGTACACAATTTTTTTACATTGTTTTTCCCAATAAGCTTTTATGTCAACTTCAGATAAGAACAAACTATAAAAATACAAACTTCAACATATAAACAAACAAATAAGAAAACAAAGTTAAACAATAATTACAATCATACATAGAAACCGATATTCTAGTTATACTTACAGTGACAATCACTGGAAAATAAATGCTTTATAAACTATTAATGAATAACATAATAATTTGTTTAAATATAAAAAATATCGTTTTACAAAAAACTTGTTAAGTCATCGTTAACAGAATGAGGACAATCAATAAATGTTTCTGATCTGAGGGGGGCATCTGTATAAAGTTAAAAGTAGTGGGGAATTCTACAACGGGTTTTAGGTTTAGGCAATTAACACTACAATTATTTAAATATTTTAAAATTTCCAAAACATTGAGTATAAAACCATGTCCGGACTTATACAAAAGTTTAAAATTATTGTCAGTATTAAAAGTATGAATGTGTAATTTTAAGTGTCTACAAAAGAACAGATTTTTCAAAATTATTCTTATTTCAATGCTCAGCAATACCATCTTTAATTTTTCTACCACTTTGGCCAACATAACAATATCAACAATTCGATCCTTAGTGTGTATAAAATTCGTTTTTAAATTTAGCTGTGTTTTAAAAAATCTTAACTTTTAATTTAAAAAAAATATTACTTATATGAGATAGAATCAAAAAAATGTTTCAACACAACTAGTTAAGTATATTTTTAGTATAACTAGAATATACACTCAACAAGCGAAAAGGGAGCAGAAAAATTTCCAAAATTTTTTTAGTGATTTTTGACTTACTTTTGATCTTTTGAAATCTTTAGCCGAAAAATTTTTTTGAGCATCACTGTTGGTTGCAATCAAATGAAACAAGGCAAAAATTTTACAATTTTTTGTTGAGTGAAAAGTCACCTTTTTTATCATCGATATCTCATGAACAAATGATCGTAGAGCGAACGGATGGTGGGTTTTAGAAACCTGAATGAATCCCCTTCAAGGGCCTTTTAATATGTTGAGAAAAAAATATATACTCAGTATTTGAAAAAAAAATCTAGGCGACAAACTGTAAATTTCATGTAAATTTTTACGTCTTTTTTCCTGTGCGTCAAATAATTTATCACAATTTATGTTTGGAGTTGAGTTTACTTGGAAAAACAACGGCGGTAAGTATGCTTAGAAGAATTATATTATTAGACTAAGTTTTACAGTGATATATTACACAAGGCTATCAAATATAATGTTAAAAAAAGTACATGGTTAAAAAAAGCCTTACGTCGTGGTCAGTATACTACTATCAGCGAGATATAAACGTGACATCTAACAGTGACAAAACAGTGGCAAAACTACTGAATGGTAGTGATCATATGGAAGGTTTTGATCGGTAAAAAAGTTTTACAAAAAATTATGTTATCAGCAACTATTACTTAAGACACTATCCTTAACCAAATCGCAAGTAATTCTTCAATCATAGCTGGTTTCAAGCCACAAAGCGCGTTAGGTGATCATTTTACGTTACGTCGACATCCCTTCGTATCGAGGACTAGGTTCAACTGATTAACATCTTTTATCGGAACGTGTGTTAAAACTTCCGCTAATTGTGCCAAGTTTAAGTGTATACGTATAGCAAAAAGGCATGTTAATGTATTGGAATGTTTACGTTACAGATTATGACTGAAAAAACAGTTATTTTGAAATCCCCTTATCGGAATCATAATCGATAAAAAATAACGCCGATAAGCACGTGCGATATCCATTATTGCAGATAATGGGAATTTATTGCAAAAACTTGAATTAAAAATCGTATTTCACAAATCATAATTAGTCATATAATTTATGACATACACATTTAACACGTAAGTACATACATTAAGAGTATTAGTCTTGAGATGTTAGGGTAACTCTTTTTGATGTGTGCTATTTTACTCAAAAACGGTAACAGATAGAGAGATGTGGTTTGCGCCATTGTTCTATCTTTATCAAAACTCTTAGACAGATTGCGAAATTGCGAATTTGAACCATTGAAAACCGACCATATGATTATTTTTTTCCTATAAAACTTATTTCGTTTTTCTTTATTTCTAAGGAAGTTTTACGTAGGTATATTTGAAGTTAAATTTTACCAACACAGTTGAAATTTAAAAGTTTATTAGCTTTAAATTTCAGTTTACATATAAGTAATATTATGTAATATGGCAATAATAAGAGATTTTTCCTTTTACGTTTAATTGCAAATTTCAGTGAAATCATCAGTCATCTGCCGAATAACCTCGACATATGTCAGATTTATTAAAGACATTGTTAAGTATATAACTGATAATATCTGAAGGTGATGCAGCCTGCGTCAGATTTTGACCTAATTTATGTCTCGCAGAAATGAAACTTTTATGCAATAAAGATTAAATTAAAATGTGTTACACAATGCTACTAATGTTTTTTCTTCATCTCTGCAGATAATCTAAAATTAAATTCAAAGAAAGGATGTGATTACTTCAAATTTTTAGAATATTTATCTAAGTATCCCTTTTGACTTTCAGATATATCAAGTAGGTTGACATGGAAGAGGTTTCTTAAACACTTGTCCAAGTCGGTGCGACTTGGTTGAATACACAATCAAATAAAAATATCTCAAAAGGTCCAATATGAACCTTAAATAGACGCCAAACGTAATCCAAGGAAAAGTTGTCTTTATATGGGCACTATACGTACGATTTCTTAGAAAGTACTCGAGTACAAGTGCCAAGTCGTAATCAATAATTTCACGTTTATTTATAAACATGAAATAATTCCTTTGTTACCGAGAAATAGTTATTTACTCTACATAGGTACAGGATGTCGAACAGATAAGAGTGCATCGATATATCATATCAATTTATCGATGGCACAGAACTCACTAATATAAAAACTGAATGACGGACTTATTTTATCAGCCACCTAGTGAAACATTAGTAAATTCACCCCACTTCGACATTAAGCTGAAGGTGCAGAGCGGGTAGCGAAATTTTCGCCGAAGTTTTGAATCGAAAATTTTCCTGGGAATACCCTATTAACAGATTCTAACGATGGATAAAATTTGGAGAGGACAAATTTTCAAATCTCAGGCGGACACCGTCACAGGACCTCTGCGGACCCATCATAGGAGGTGTTCGAGCGTCGACCCTGATACTTTACAACTCGGTCAGACGGTATGTGTAGTACGCTCATTTCTTATTTGGATTACATAAAGTTAATTGTAACTTACTTTCCCATTTATTGACCAGAATTCCAATCAATCCAAATATATACAAGTTCAAAACTTTGTTAAAACCTTTTTAACAAATTTTTACGTGTGCTAACGATCTCGGTATAAATGAACAACAAAAACGTTAGTCCAGGACAAATAATAAGAACATAATGAAGAAAATCGTAATAAGAATTTACCACCAATAATAGTGACAATATGAAACAAATAGAAAAAATAACTAACTTTCCCCGATATAGCTTTTACGAATACTGTCATGTCATGTCCTATCCAGTAGCCAGGCAGACAATCTGATTTATTACAGCGAAATAATTACACATTTTGCCATATTATGTAACTAACGATGTGAGCTGAAACGAGATATTTGTATAAATTTAAATAATGTAAAAATTATTCCGGCATTCATATTTGTTAAAAACTAGTATGTCTAATATGTACTAAATTTAACGCTACCCAACAGCTATGCGGTGCGATAACGTTGAGTTAAGTATTTTAATTTTAATAACAAAATAAAATAGTTGTAAATGTACCTATGAACTTTTAGACAATGAAAAGGAATGTTCCTCAAAATTGTAGAATTTGAAGTGGAAAATAATTATTGATTTAGTAAGAGATAAAATTATTAATTGCGTAGTAAAAATATTTAAGATAAGGACATTCAGTTTTTTTTCTTAGCGATTTCAATGTAGTCTGTAAGTTTTTCGACAAATTTTGAACAAACACCATTATTTTTT